CTACTAATCAATCTATGAAGGTGGCCCTTTATACTCAATAGGCAATCTCATTGAAAACCTGCACCCCAACTTTATTACATTGATGAATGTGTTTACAGCACATAATTCTGGGTGACAAATTAAAACCATAACATACCCCAAGTATATAAACACCCCGAAGCTGAGGACTCCATCTGGTGTTAGGGTTTCTGTTTCCTTTCTCTGCCTCCATTATCTGCTCCCGGCCACACCCTGAACTTTCTCCTGAGGTTTGAGAACCACACGTTGCATTTCCTCTTTACTTTATGCCTGTACTTTAGCCTCTTTGAATTCTTTTTTTTTTAATTTTAAGTTTATTTATTTATTAAAGATTTCTGTCTCTTCCCAGCCACCGCCTCCCATTTCCCTCCCCCTCCCCTAATTAAGTCCCCCCCCAGCCTGAAAAGCAATCAGGGTTCCCTGTCCTGTGGGAAGTCCAGGGAACCCCCCCACCTCCATCCAGGTCTAGTAAGTTGAGCATCCAAACTGCCTAGGCTCCCACAAAGCCAGTACGTGCAGTAGGATCAAAACCCATTGCCATTGTTCTTGAGTTCTCAGTAGTCCTCATTGTCTGTTATGTTCAGAGAGTCCGGTTTTGTCCCAGGCTTTTCCAGACCCAGGCCAGCTGGTCTTGGTGAGTTCCCAGTAGAACATCCCCATTGTCTCAGTGTGTGGGTGCACCCCTCATGGTCCTGAGTTCCTTGCTCATGCTCTCTCTCCTTCTGCTCCTGATTTGGACCTTGAGATTCTGTCCGGTGCTCCACTGTGGGTCTCTGTCTCTTTCTCCTTTCATCGCCTGATGAAGGTTAATATTCAGGAGGATGCCTATATGTTTTTCTTTGGGTTCTCCTTATTTAGCTTCTCTAGGATCACTAATTATAGGCTCAATGTCCTTGGTTTATGGCTAGAAACCAAATATGAGTGAGTACATCCCATGTTCCTCTTTTTGTGTCTGGCTTACCTCACTCAGGATAGTGTTTTCTATTTCCATCCATTTGTATGCAAAATTCAAGAAGTCCTTGTTTCTTACTGCTGAATAATACTCTAATATGTATATATTCCATACTTTCTTCATCCATTCTTCCATTGAAGGGCATCTAGATTGTTTCCAGGTTCTGGCTATGACAAACAATGCTGCTATGAACATAGTAGAGCATATACTTTTGTTGTATGATAAGGCCTCTCTTGGGTATATTCCCAAGAGTGGTATTGCGGGGTCCAGGGGTAAGTTGATCCCGAATTTCCTGAGAAACCGCCACACTGCTTTCCAAAGTGGTTGCACAAGTTTGCATTCCCACCAGCAATGGATGAGGGTACCCCTTTCTCCACAACCTCTCCAACAAAGGCTATCATTGGTGTTTTTGATTTTCGCCATTCTGACAGGTGTAAGATGGTATCTTAAAGTTGTCTTGATTTGCATTTCCCTGATCGCTAAGGAAGTTGAGCATGACCTTAAGTGTCTTTTGGCCATTTGAAGTTCTTCTGTTGAGAATTCTCTGTTCAGTTCAATGCCCCATTTTATAATTGGGTTGGTTAGCCTTTTACAGTCTAGTTTCTTGAGTTCTTTATATATTTTGGAGATCAGACCTTTGTCAGTTGCGGGGTTGGTGAAGAACTTCTCCCAGTTAGTGGGTTGCCTTTGTGTCTTAGCGACAGTGTCCTTTGCTTTACAGAAGCTTCTCAGTCTCAGGAGGTCCCATTTATTCAATGAGGTCCTTAATGTCTGTGCTGCTGGGGTTGTATGTAAAAGTGGTTTCCTGTGAACAGTCAACTACTGAACCACACCTGGGTTAAGGAAGAAATCAAGAAGGAAATTAAAGTCTTCCTGGAACTCAATGAAAATAGAGAAACAACATACTCAAACCTATGGGACACTATGAAAGCAGTGCTAAGAGGAAAGTTCATAGCATTAAGTGCCCACTTAAAGAAAACAGAGAAAGCATACATCGGAGACTTAACAGCACACCTGAAAGCTTTAGAAAAAAAAGAAGCAGACACGCCCAGGAGGAGCAGAAGACTGGAAATAATCAAACTGAGGGCGGAAATCAACAAAATAGAAACGCAGAAAACAGTCCAAAGAATCAATGAAACAAAAAGTTGGTTCTTGGAGAAAATCAACAAGATCGACAAACCCCTATCCAAACTAATTAAACGACAGAGAGAGAACACGCAAATAAATAAGATCAGAAATGGAAAGGGGGACATAACCACAGACACAGAGGAAATTCAGACTCATTAGATCTTACTACAAAAGCCTGTATGCCGCAAAACTAGAAAATGGAGAAGAAATGGACATGTTTTTAGATAAGTGCCACATACCAAAGCTAAACCAAAACCAGGTGAATGATCTAAATAGACCTGTTAGTCGCGAAGAGCCTCTTTGAATTCTTGAGTGTTTGTCTAGTCAGGGTGAACTTCCTTAGCTAACATTTCAACCTTCCTCTACTTAACAGAGTCAACCATTTGTGCCATATGTCTTCTCTCTATAATTACCTACGGTTTGATACTCTGAATAAGTCAATTTTCAATACCTGACCATTAAGAGAAATGACCGGATTTGTATGCCATCAAATTAATTATTCATAAATACCACAGGCAAGTGTCTAAAAAAAGTTCCATATATGTGATCTGTAAAATCTTTATCCAGGGTTATCTAGTCCATAAGCAATCAATGTCCCTCAGGAAGGTGTAGTACTTGGCTGACAAAGGTCCTATTTTGTATCAGAAATCCATGACCAAGTTCTGTTATATTTCAGTGAGTCCTCAGAGCATTTCCGTGACAGAGTCTCTGAAGGCACTAACTGCAGTGCTCACTGGTTCCAGTTTAGACATTTTTCATAACATTTGATTGGTCAGGGCGTCATGTAAGGTGGACTGATTTACAACTAGTGTCAGTAAAATATAATAATATTTGCAAAGACAGAGCATAATTTCTCCAAGCTTAAAACAACTAGACAGTGCTTGACTTCTGTACTGTGGATGCCAAGACAGACAACAGGTAGATCTTGAGGACAGCGGAAATGAAACTGCCCTTCTTGTCAGCAAATGACTCTCAGGGATGTAGCTAGTGTGACAGGACCTTGCACCTATGTATTGTGCTGGTTAGTTTTATATCAAGTTGACACAATCTGAGAGGAGGGAACTTCAACTGAGAAAATGCCCCCAGAAGAGCTGGCTCCAGGAAAACTTACAGTGAATGTTCTTAATCAGGGATGGATGGGGGAGGGCCCAGCCTACTGTGGGTAGTGCTGCCCCTGGGCTGGAATTCCTGAGTCTTATAAGAAAGCAGGCTGAGCAGGCCATGAGGAGCAGGCCAGTCAGTCAAACTCTTTCATCACCTCTGCATCAGTTCCTGCCTCCAGGTTCCTACTCTGACTGCCTTTGATAATAACTTGCTTTAAGACAAAGTGAAATAAACCCTTTTTCTCTCGAAGTTGTTTTGCTCAGACTGTTCCATCACAGCAGCTGAAACACCAGCTAAGACATGTGTGAAACTACAGACCCTTTTAAGTGTGCTTGTGTCCTCTCAGGGTGTTTTCAACTAAGGCCATTAAAGGAGGAAGTCATTGGGCGCAATATCATTATGCGCACATACAGAGAAGGGTGGATACGATGATTTTGCCTGAGCTTCCGTGTACGATAACAGATTGCTGGGTATCTGCTAAAGGTGCTTTGTGTTCCTTCAGAGGTAGCAAACCCCATCCTGGTTGGTTCCGGAAGCCTGACTAGAGATGGCGAGTGAATGAAAGGACAGACACACAGAAACAGGTGCAGAATCCCGAACACAGAATGATTATTAGGTGTATTACAGGGTTATTCCTCTGTCTTAGTGGGTTGGTAGGAGGTCTCTGAAGGTGAGCAATCTCGGCTGTAAACCAGAAGGAGGAAACTGCAGTTGTGAATTTTGCACTCACTCGTCAATTGTTTGTCAAAACCACTACTTGCACACACTCTCGACATTGACACTCAGACCAGAGGAAGATACTGTCATCCCTCTGAGCCTGAGCAAGTCAGTGCTTTCTCTTGGGTCTGAGACAGTGGTCTTTGATATGATTGTACCAATGTGAGCATAACACATTCACTCAAGACTTTGCTCTTTACACATTTAATCAAGGCTTCCTTAGCTCCCTGTACAGATAAGATAAACTGAAACAGAGATACACTTAATAATGTGTTAATCAAATCTATAATAGCAAGTTTCTCATAGTTTTGAAGGTCTTGTAGTCCAGTTTCATGATGTCAGCATCTGGCAAGACATCTGATCATACAGAACAATATTTTAGAATATTGAATATTAGACATAAGGACTTGTGGTCCATGATCAGTTAAAGTGGTAACAATGCATTGTGAAGAACAATTGTTCTCTTCATATTTCAGAGCAAGGCAAATTAAACCATTGAATAAAGATACTGTGAGGCCAACCACCTCTGATCACTAGGTCTGTAATCCCCGAAGAGCCTAATAACATCCTACCATACTGTTTTGCATTTGCATGTTTTCTGATTCTGAACTTATTGCCATTTCAGGAGTTTATCTTGTATGTACCATTATTAAAATAAAAAGATTAATATTATTTAATCTACATCTGTAATAAATTTTGAGAAAACCAAGGTAGTCCTGTGAGTGGTTCACATGAAGATATTCCAACATCTTTTCTTTCATAGAGACCCCATGCTGTACAAAATTTGTATAGAATTTAATGGTGTAGTCATAACTTCGATATTCAACTTAAAAATCAGAAACAAAATCCCAATGTACTCATATGTGTTCCTAAGGAGAGGCTGTTGTGTGGACACTTTATTTGCCTTCCTTTCTTCTTGCAGAAACAAATAAAATGCTTCCTTGTTTAAGAAGCAATGCATTTAAATTATGCCACCCAAGCGTGTGTAAACTTAGAACAGTGACAGTGGGTCTAGAATGTTTCTACCATAGGCCCTTCTGATACCTGTTAACCAGTCATTAGGTTAAACATTTGGGAGCTGAAGATGCTTAGGTTCTGTGGACATATCTTCCAAAAATAGCTTTCATTGAATCACTACGCCTAAAGGAGCAGCAGGGTGGGCAGACTCCCGACTAGAAGGCTCAGCCACTGTCTTCTATTGGATGGCATGGTCAGTGATTAAATCCTCTTTTGCACCAACAGCTAATTTTCTCCTTTGTTCTACTCTTCCTTTCTGCTTTCCTAGGGAATGGCAGTCCATACATCCCAGAACACTTCCTTGAAGTAGTTGCTTAAATGACCACGTAGTCGTCTGCAGTTGTCCTATTGTGACCACGATGTTCAAGAGTTTAGCATTCCCTCATCAAGTCCATCCATGAGGTAAGCGAAAAGCAAACTGAAAGAGAAAGAAAACTGTTAGTTTCGATTTAAGTCAAATAAATATCAAAACCTTTTCTACATATCCATTTGTCTTTGTAGATTTATTCTTCTCCTCTACTTAAAAAAAAATGAAGAAAATCAAAGTATCTCTTTCAATAATTCATTTCTTTTATAGTCACTCAATTTTAAATGTTAAAACTTCAGCTATGTAAATGATGCTGATGTTATTAAGTAATGTGTTTATTCTGTAAGTGAGGAACCTGCCTAACTTCATTTTGAAGGAGGGAGCCATTATGTTATTATTTTTTTTTTTTTTTTGGTTTTTTTGAGACAGGGTTTCTCTGTGGTTTTGGAGCCTGTCCTGGAACTAGCTCTTGTAGACCAGGCTGGTCTCGAACTCACAGAGATCCACCTGCCTCTGCCTCCCGAGTGCTGGGATTAAAGGCGTGCGCCACCACTGCCCGGCTCATTATGTTATTTTTTTTTTTAAAAAAATGTGTTTCTATTTACTGTGAGAATTGAGTTATTTTCTGTTTTTTGTCTCCTGACCTTTCAAACCCATGACATCTATTAGTTTTTTAGAATACATTTACCGTCTCTGACCCTCCCTGGCCCTTCCCTAACCAACTGGTGGGTGACCATATGATTTTTTAAGATTATTTTTTTTATTTTCTTATTGCCTCATGTTGTCTCCCTGTGCTAGACCACTTGGGATTTTACTTCTTAGAGGGACAAGAGATGGATTCAGAACTGGTCTCTTTAACCTGATTAGGAGACAGTATCAGGACAGCACTGGGGTCACCCAAAAAAAAATCAAACTTGCTGAAAATTCACTAAAATTGTACTAGTAGAGTTGTTTTGATTAGCATTTCTCTGATGACTAAGGCTATTGAACATTTTCTTAAGTGTCTTTCAGCCATTTTAGATTCCTCTGTTGAGAGTTCTTTGTTTAGGTCTGTACTCTATTTTTTATGGGATTGTTTGTTCTTTTGATAACCAATTTATTGCGTTCTTTGTATATTTTAGAGATCAGACCTCTGTGTGATGTGAGGTTAGTGAAGATCTTTTCCCATTCTGTAGGCTGTTGTTTTGTCTTTTGACCGTGTCCTCTGCTTTACAGAAGCTTTTGTTTCAGGAGGTTCCATTTATTAATTGTTTCTCTCAGTGTCTATGCTGCTGCGGTTATATTTAGGAAGTGGTCTACTATGCCAATGCGTTAAAGTGTACTTCCTTCCCACTTTCACTTCCACAAAGTTCATAAAGGCTGGCTTTATGTTGAGGTCTTTGATCCGTTTGGACTTGAGTTTTCTGCATGGTGATAGATATGGGTCTATTTTCACCCTGCATTGCTGGTGAGAATGCCAGCTGCTACAGCCCTTTTGGATGTCAGTGTGGTAATTTCTCAGAAAATTAGGGAACAACCTTCCTCAAGACCCAGTAAAACCACATTTGGGTATATATCCAAAGGATGCACAATTGTGCCACAAGGGCCTGTGTCCAATATGATCATGGCAGCATTGTTTGTCATAAGTAGGATTTATGAAGCATTTTTCTCCATAAAATTATTTGAAAGTTCTATAAGCTCCAGAAAAGTCCATGAGCTAGCGGTTTGATGCAATAAAATGGCAACCTGGAGACATTAATGAACTACCATCATTCCCTAAAATAGGCTCAACTTTCATATGACAGAAGAGAATCCTCAATTGCCTTGTCTTGTCACAGGTTTAAATCTATGATAGGATCATTGACATACACCCCATTGTCAGGAACAGATAAATGCTAACAGTGTGACTATGTTCTTGTCTCCAAGAAGAAAGAATATTTTCAAATTTTGCTTTTGATTATTTTTATTATTTTCCTGCCTTTAATGAATTTGCTTTTAAGAACAAATCATATTATCAAAAAACCCAAAATTGTGAATTAGCAGTGAGTTCCACAGACCTGTCTCCTGAATGTTATCTAAAATGATATGCCCAGTATAGAAATGGCCATTGCTCTTACTCATAGAGATTATTCCAGTGTTCATGTTTTACCACGTAATCTGTGGCTTAGCCACCCACACTTGAGGAAATGTACATGAAGTGTCATTGTGAAATGCTCCATAATAGGTTCAGAAGACAAACACTTCGATGTGTGCTGAATAAACAGTTGTTGTGAGTTTTCCATTCCACGAAAGTCTTTTCACAGAGCTGAGAGGTCACAGCATTTTTATGAATTATCCAGTAAGCAGATATCCTATTAAAATGATTGGGTGGGCTTTATGAAACCTCTAAAGATAAGTGATGGAGTTGGTTTTTAGTATGAATGCTTCTGAGAAAGAAACACATTTATATTCTGTCCAATTCCCAATAAATTTAATAGGCATTCATCATATGTCAGCAAATCATCAACAGAGTTAGAATAGATCTCAAATCATCAAATACTCAAAGTATTCAGACCCACCCAATCAGAGGGTCTGGGGAGAACAGAGAGAGTGGATGTTAGGAACACCAGGACAGACTTTACATCCTTCCATCAATTAATATTGAATGAGCACCAATTGTGTCTCTAATTGGGAACTTGAGGTAGAATACAAAAGCAACAAAATAAAATTAACAACAAAAGTCCAAGCTCCCTGGAAATTCCCTTCTAGAAGCTACTCAAGTCAGATAAAGATGAAGATATGGTCTCATGATCAAAACAATTACTTAAAGAAAAGCTAATAAGATTTTATTTTGAAGAAACAATATAGTTCCTCATTTGTTACTTATGTATGTAATGAATCTATGTACTTTTTCAAACATGACTATTTGATGGTTTACAGTTTTAACCGATATCCACAGAGACAACTGTTGGGAAGGCTCCAGGCTGTTTAAAGCCATGGCAAGCTTAGTCATATAATATCTAACACTGGAGAAGAACACTTTACATTTGTTACAGCTTCTCCTTAAAGGACCTCTCATCTGGTTACAAATTTATAAAAAATCTGATGCCACTCAAAGAGCTCCTGGTCTAGACCAGTTTTAAGGACTACATGAATAGGTGGCAACTGGGAACATAAATATATTGTATGTGTTACCTTTTTAATATTTAACACACACCGTTTTTTGTGTTTGTTTTTTCAAGACAAGGTTTATCTCTACATTTGGAGCCTGTCCTGAAACTAACTCTTGTAGGCCAGGTTGGCCTCAAACTCACAGAAATCTGCTGCCAATCCCAAGTATTAGCATTAAAGGCATGTGTAACCCCCACATGGTTTAGCATTACATTTTTTAAAAAAGTTAGTAATAATGGTCATATGTTTAGTCAAGACCATTTGTCATTTTAAAATACAGAGTTGACAGTGTATATTTTTTAGTAATGTATGGCTCATGCTAACATTATTCTAAAATTTGAAATTGTAATGCAATGTGTTCTATTTGTTCTTTTTCTAAACTTCTGACGAATTACATATTATTCAAATATCTTTCTAGCTCTCTACCTTTAGTTCATTGTGACCAAAAGAAAGCAAGCTATTTTGCATATAGATTATAAGGGCAATCCATGTAAGTACAACACATGTTTTAAAATTCATCTAAAATTAATATATATTATATTTATTTCAAAGAAATTGTGTTCATTTAAAAAGAAGTGAGTTAAACACCAAAGCAAAATTTAGCAAATACAGATGAGTCACATAAGACATATGTGAGATGAGTCATACTGTATAAGCACATAAAACATAGGGACTTCAGGGTATATATCCTTCATGCAGTTTAGAGTCTGAACATTTATATAAACTGATAACCCATATGCATTCGGACATATTCAAAGACCCTACATCATATATATGTAAGCACAGTATATATGGCAGAAAATGCCAAAATATTGTAAACTCTCAGCCAAAAAAGACAGGTTATAATTTTTTAAGTTTGGAAACAAAATATTGATACTTTTTAGTGTACAAGTACTATATGTCAAAAATACTATAAATATTATCAAACAACAATAAAGTCAAGAGCTATTTTTTGTAAATTACTGATAGTGTTATCCATGCCTTGGTGTGATGTTCAATAGGACACACTGTAGTTCACACTCTGATGTGGGATTCAGTTGCACACCCTGCACCAGTCCAGTTTAAGGATACAAACAATTAAGCTCATCAGATAAGGGACCTGGTCTTCATCATGTTCTGACCTTGTCTTAAAGAAGAAAAAGGATGGACTAATGAGATGGTCCATACCTCCATCTAAGATGGCTCTTGCCTCTAAGCCTGACAAAATATGTTCAATCTCTGCCACCCACATGGTTCAAGGAAAAACTCCAACAAATTGACCTCTGACCTCCAAAGGTACATTGTGATATACTAATACACATGCACAAACCAACACACCTACACACAATACTCATAAAAACACATACACACACAAACCAACACACATGCACATATATATATACACATAGAAACTAAAACATTTACATATACATAAACACATATGCACGCACATATACACAATATACATACATACATAAGATTCACACAAGCACACACATGTAAACATGTGTGCACATACAAGCCAACAAACCTACACAGACACACATGAACACACAAATAATGTAATAAAAGTCTAAGGAAAATATCTTACACACATATATCATACCCTTGAAATAAGGAAACTTTCACTAAATGAGAGATTATAGCGATTTGAGCAAAATATACAATTTTAATGATCAGAATGCATTATTCTTAAAGCAATTTATTTCTCGTAGTACATATTATTTGTACAAAATAGCAGGTTCAGTATGACGTTTTTATGCATGTAAGCAAAGTACTTCCAAAGACATTTTACAAGCCAACTTCTTGATATTTCCCAACATGTTGGGGAATTATGCTAATAGTTAAGAACTTTTTATTATGTGTCTTGGACATAGCAGTTAACTTATGCATAAAAATCTACATAGCCGAGCAGGGCGGTGGTGGTGCACGCCTTTAATCACAGCACTCGGGAGGCAGAGGCAGGCGCATCTCTGTGAGTTCGAGGCCGGCCTGGTCTAGAAGAGCTAGTTCCAGCACAGGAACCAAAAGCTATGGAGAAACCCTGTCTTGAAAATCAAAAATCAAAAATCAAAAAAAAAAAATCTACATAGCCTCAAACTCAAGAGAAAACCCATTGTTCATTGCTTCTTTGCTTTGTGCAAAAGTTGTAAGATAATTCAACAATTCCTCTCCAATGAGCCATGACAGCGATGCCAGACTAAAATTCCCTTGTGAATTACCCTGGATAAATAATGAGTTATTCTGATTCTAGCTATGCCCCAATTAGGTGAAATTCATTCTAATGACTTATAAATTATATCATAAACCTAAATGTTCTAGGCAGAAGAAAACATTCATATGTTGACAAATAGTTTGCAGTTAAAGTTGATTACATATATGTAATCCAAAATTCTTATATGAGGATCTGGAATAGCAAACAATTGTCAGCAATCTGTTTATTCCCCTGAAACTTTGTTTGTCATAAAGAAACTTCAAATGACCTACATTTTAAGAATGAAAACTTGCTCAGATGATTTGTTTTAATCACTTCAAATCATAAATTCTTTTTTTGTTGTTATTTTTTTCACAGACACTCAAAACATTCTAAGATAAAAGCTAGATTATGCTGGCTGACCACCAGATATCTCCACTATTCCATTTAACAGCATTTGAACCATCCCATCAGGCAGGCCTCAGACATTTCCCAGCTGTGGTTTTAGAGGCATGTAGACCTGCAAGCAAATTGCTACTAAAAAGAAAGTCTTAGATGTTGGACAGACCTTTAAAGTGCTGATTTCTCTCCCCACCTTTCTTCACCTGTTAGGACTTCAGCTTCCATAATAAAACTGTGATCTGGATTCTAATTGTCAGAATTAAAAAGTGAAATAGACCCAATGACCACACAGAAATAGTACAAAGAGAGATTTGGGAAATCTCTGTTTCATGATATTAAAATAAGCCTTTTCTTCACGTTTGACTTAAATACATATTTTGTTCTTTCTGGACTATAAATAAAAGCTTTAAACATCGTGATGTTGGGATCTAGAAAACTACATATCTAAAAGAATGGTTGACTTTAAGAGTTCAGACACATTGAATTTATAGATTTCCTTTGGTAGAATTGCCATTTTTACTATGTTGATCCTACCCATCCAAAAGCATGGGAGATCCTCCCATTTACTGGTGTCCTCTTCAATTTCTTTCTTCAAACCTTAAACTTCTTTTCAAATAGATCTTTCACTTCCTTGGTTAGTATCTTGGTTAATGCAAGATACGTTATGCTATTTGTGGCTATCATGAAAGGTGAAGTTTCTCTGATTTCCCTCTCTGCTTCTCTATTCTTTGTGTATTTTTAGTTGATCTTGTATCCTGCAACATCACTGAAGGTATTTATCAGCCATAGGAGTTCTTTGGTAGAGATTTTGGGGTCACTTATGTACACTATCATATCATCTGCAAATAACTAAAGTTTGACTTCTTCCTTTCCAATTTGAATCCCCTTGACCTCCTTATCTTGTCTTATTGCTATTGCTAGAACTTCAAGCACTATGTTGAAGAGATATGGTGAGAGTAGACAGCCTTGTCTTGTTCCTGATTTTAGTGGAATGGCTTTGAGTTCCTCTTCATTTGATTTGATATTAGCTGTTGGTTTTCTGTATATTGCTTTTATTATATTTAGGTATGATCCTTGTATCTCTAACCTCTCCAAGACCTTTATGATAAAGAGGTGTTGAATTTTGTTAAATGCTTTTTCAGCAACTAATGAAATGGTTATAAGTGTTTTTCTTTCAGTTTATTTATTTGACAGATTAAATTGATAGATTTTATTTTGTATGTTGAACCAGTCCTGCACCTCTGGGATGAAGCCTATGCAATCCCCATTAAAATCCCAACAAAATTCTTCACAGACATTGAGAGAACAATAATCAACTTTATATGGAAAAACAAAGACCCAGGATAGCTCAAACAATCCTATACAATAAAGGAACATCCCTGACTTCAAACTATATTACAGAGCTACAGTAATGAAAACAGCTTGGTATTGGCATAAAATAAAAGACATCAACCAATGGAATCAAATCGAAGACTCAGATATTAAGCCACAAACTTTTAAACACCTGATGTTTGACAAAGGAGCTAAAAGTATACAATTGAAAATTGAAAGCATCTTCAACAACTGGCATAACTGGAAGTCAACCTGTAAAATAATGAAAATAGATCCATATCTATCACCATACACAAAACTCAAGTCCAAATGAATTAAAGACCTCAATATCAGTCTGAACACACTGAGCCTGATAGAAGAGAAAGTGGGAAGTAGACTGCAACCCATGGGCACAGGAGACCAATTCCTATGTATAACCCCAATAGAACAGACAATGAGAGCAACAATGAATAAATGGGACCTCAAGAAACTGAGAAGCTTCTGTAAAGCAAAAGACACTGTCATTAAGACAAAAAGGCATCCTACTGAATGACAAGATCTTCACCAATCCAACATCAGAGAAAGGTCTGATCTCCAAAATATATAAAGAACTCAAGAAACTACACATTAAAATTCTAATTAACCCAATTAAAATATTGGGAACTGAACAGAACAGAGAATTCTCAACTGAAGAAGTTCAAATGGCCAAAAGACACTTAAGGTCATATTCAACTTCCTTAGCAAACAGGGAGATATAAATCAAAACAACTTTGAGATGCCATCTTATACCTATCAGAATGGCTAAAAACAAAAACACCAATGATAGCCTATGCTGGAGAGAGTGTGGAGTAAGGGTAACACTTATCCATTGCTGGTAGGAATGCAAATTTGTGCAACCACTTTGGCAATCAGTGTGGCAGTTTCTCAAGAAATTGGGAATCAACATACCTCAGGATCCAGCAATACCACTCTTGAGAATATACCCAAGAGATGCCCAATCATACTACAAAAGCATTTGTTCAACTATGTTCTTAGCAGCATTATTTGTAATATCTGAACCTGGAAGCAACCTAGATGCCCCTCAATGGAAGAATAGATAAAGAAAGTATGGAATATATATATTCGAGTACTACTCAGTGGTAAAATACAATGACATGTTCAATTTTGCATGCAAATGGATGGAAATAGAAAACACTATCCTGAGTGAGATACCCCAGACCCAAAAAGGTGAATATGGTATGTCCACACTCATTAGTGGACTCTAGCCATAAACAAAGGACGTTGAGCCTATAGTTCACAAGCCTAGAGAAGCCAAATAACAAGGTGACCCCAAAGAAAAATATATAGAGATCCTCCTGGAAATTGGAAGCAAACAAGATTGCTGGGCAAAAGTTGGGAGCATGGGGGTGGTGGTAGGGGTGTTGGTGTGGATGGGGGAAGGGGAGAAGGAGAGAGAGAAGGGAGAAGGGAAATACTGGGGAGAGCTTGGGGGATTGGAATGGTGGAGACGGAGGAAGGGTGCATATAGGAGCAGGGAAGAAGGTATCTACATTAAGGGTGCCATTTTACGGTTGGCAAGAGACTTGCCTCTAGAGGGAATTCCAGGTGCCACAGGGATGTCCTGAGCTAGGTCCTTGGGCAGCAGAGGAGAGGGTGTCTGAACTGGCCTTGCCCCACTATCATACTGATGATTATCTCTAATATCACCATAAAATCTTGGTCCAGCAATGGATGGAGATAGAGACAGAATCCCTCACCAGAGCATCGTACTGAACTCCCAAGGTCCAGTTGAAGAGTAGAAGGAGCGAGAAGTTGAGCAACGAAGTCAGGACCTTGAGGGTTAGGTCCACCCACTGAGACAATGTGCTTGATCTTATGGGAGCTCACCAAATCCAGCTGGACCAGTATTGAACAAGTGTGTGATCAAATGAGACTCTCTAAATGCGGCTGCCAATGGGGGCGGGTCGGACTGAGAAGCCATGGATAATGGCACTGGGACTTGTTTCTACTGTATGAACTGGCTTTTTGGGTCCCTAGTCTATTTGGATGCACACCTTCCTAGGCCTGGATGGAAGGGGAAGGGTCTTGGATTTCCCACAGGGCAGGGTACCCTGCCCTCTCTAAAGGGGGGAGGGGGAGGCAGAAGGGGGAGTGGGGGAGCAGGAGAGGAATGGGAGAAGGGGGAGGAAGTGTAAATTTTTGAATGGAAAAATAAATAAATAAATAAATAAAAGAGTTCAAACACAATGTTCAGTGCCTTCACAAATAAGTCTTAACCTGTGAAGTCATTACACCTTGAAAATAAAACCTTTCTTTCTTTGCTTTTAATAGTCACTCCCTATGACTGTTCTTCAAGGGTTCATTTCTCACATGAAAAACACAGGACCACCGGATGTGTCCCTTCCCCTGTATTTTATAGCTGCAACCTTCACACTAGAACTACTGAGGTTGAGACAAGAAGATCAAGACTTCAATGTCAACCCTCAGGTTAAAAACAAGTAGAGACTAGGACAGGTTCCTGAAAACTTGTCTCCAAACACAAGCAAGCAAACAAAAAAAATTTGAGGATCAGAAAAACCATCCTTTGTCACAAGAATGCTTTAACTCTTGGAAGGACTCCTAGCTGACTGCCAGGCTCCTCATAGAATCATGTAAGGTCAGACAGTCAGTAAATGCCATCAGCTGCTCTCCTGAAAAACATTACTAGTGGATGTGTTAAGCTCTACATGACCAACCCCTTCACCAAGCAGAGCGCAGAAAAATAATAGTTCAAAACTAAAAACATCAATGTCTTATTCTGATCTTTAAATATTTTGTTAAATGTTTTGTAAAACTTGGCAAAAATAGAAATATATGGGTTATCTAGGTAATCTGAGTGCTCAGTATGAGAAAAAATGCTTAATTTCTCCTCAAAAAAAAAAAAAAAAACAAAGTTTCCAGGAAGGAGAGAATGGAGCATCAGAATGCATACTGTACCTGCGATTATGTCTTAATTTTTACTTTGTATATTCACATTGATTTTTCATGTAATATGAAAGTCACAAGAAAGAAGATTTTTAGCTTCTTGAATTATTCAAGATATTACTCAACATCTCAAATATTATAGCCACAAAAGCCAGAAGGTTTTCAAAGACTTTGTAGGAGCCCGAGTGGTTCTAAGAAATTGAAAAATCAGTTAAAATCAATCTTATTCTTTTTTAATCTTTGATAAAATGATTCAGAGTCATGAGTGATGATGCACATGTACCATTGAGAAATAGTTAGAAGTCAGTTTCTAAGTGAATAAGCTAATGCACATACATACTTGTCATTATTCCCAGCTGTCTCGAAGACAGGGTAGAATAATACAATGCTACTATGTACTTGTGAGTCTTAGTTACACAGAATATGTAAAATTGCACAGCACTGTGTAAAAGATCATTAATATCTTAAGTGATTTTTATAAAGCTGGATTCAACCTTCTGTACTAGAATATTTAGAAATGGATGAAGAACATAAAGGGAGAACAAAATTGCTCTACTCTAGGGTAGATACCCAGTAATAAAATTTTTTGTAGGCGCTGTAATAACTGGAAAGCATGTGCTTCCCAGATCCCTACATTGAAACCCTAATCATACAGAGACAGTGCTAGGAGCTTGGCCTTCAAGAGTTATATCATGAAGGTGGAACCCATGAGTAGTTATTTTTCTTACTGGAAAAAGAAAGATCCAGGATGTTACTTTATCCCTTTTGCAATGTCAGGCTGGAGTCTATGAAGAAGTATGCTATCAGTGACAAAAAAAATGTGTTGTCACCTAGATTTTCTATTTGACATAGATTTACAATATTTTAATCCAACTTCTTTTATGGAAGCACTAGGGGACTAATATAGCCACTGTTGATCTTTCTCAAAAGTGCATAAAGTATAACATTTTGCTGTCAAACAAATGATTTTATTAAATCAGGATGTCCCCTTGTGTAAATCATACTATAAAGCAGAAAAACTATCTTACATGATCACCCATTGCTTTTCAAGTTCTCATTGATATGTGATATGTTTCATTGATATGTATAATGTTTCATTGATATGTAACATTGTACATATGTGTTTATACATCTCTCTGCTCATCCATAATTGATATGAATTTTAAAATGCATTTCTTTATATAGGATTCCTGAATTAAAGAGTATATATTTTTATATCTTTTGAAACACATTGGCTGATGACTGAGTTTTCTCTCCTGCTTAGTTCCCACAGTCATTAAGTCCCATAGAAATTACACAGAGATCTACATTAATTATAAACTGATTGGCCTAGTATCTCAGGTTTTTTATTAACTCTTATAACTTATATTTGTCCATAATTCCTGTTTGTGTTAGACATGTGGATTGGTACATTTTTGGTGAGTCAGTCACATCTTGTGTCCTCTGCATTTTTGTCACAACTGTAGACTGAAACTTCCCTCTTCCCAGAATTTTTGTTGCCCCACTTCTACTTCCTGCCTGGTAGTCCCATCTATACTTCTTGCCTGGCTACTGGCCAAACAGAGTTTATTTAAAATACAAATGACAAAGTACAGATAACTTTCCACAGTTCTTCCCCCTTAAAAAAAAAAGGAACTTTGAATCTAATATTTTTGTTGAGCTTTTTTTTTGTGTGTGAGACCATCATTTATAACAACTTGTAATCAATATTTTAAACAAAAGAAAATATCCATAGTCCATTTTTGGAGAATGTGGGTGTAGGTTTTTAGGCTACTTTTTGCTGATTAGAGACACTGATAATCTTATGGGAATCTTAAGAAGATTTAGAATTATGATCAAATCCTGACTGGATTATCCTGTGAGACTTGATCATCTTAGCCAGCAGTCTTGATACTGTTTTGGATGTAGGACTCAGACACCAGGGTGATCTGCTCTTATCAGAGATTTTTTAGGGGGTCTTTCTTGATTGAATCTGATTTTTTTAAACCCAAAATGAATCTGTAGCCTCT